CCTGTATTGGAAATCACTGATATGAAAATCTCCAAAAGCTATTTTGTTACTAATATTAGTATTACAGAAACACTCAAGTCTGAAAAGAAACTCCCTGGTAAGATGTTACATGAAGAAACTGTAGAAAACACACTTTCTTTTGAAACATTCTGCGTGCTAAATAAAGGTTTTAGTGTTAGAACTACCTGTCTATTATCCTGCCCCTTTTTCAGGAGGGCTCAAGTCTGCTGTCGGTCCTGTGTCATACCTGCCAATCTGCACTTTTTCTGAAGCAGCAGTAGGTTTAACTGTTATTGGTACTCCTTACATGTAATACACCTGTTATATCTTTTTTTAATTTATTTCAGTTCTTGCTCCCTACTTATTTCATACTAATTCAAACTAAAATGAGTTCTGCAAGTAAAACTTTCCCCTCCATATGAATGTTCTCGTCACTATGTAAGTATCAGGGATGAAAGGAGGGGAAGACAGTGTCCATTTCCTTCTTAATTCCACACTCTTGTTTCCTTCATATTGTTGCTATTTCAATATATTTGTGGTCTATGTCCTTTATACTTACAAATATTTGTGTTACTTGTGATATAATAGATCTATAGGGATGAAGGCTTTTTTATTTGTAGCAACCTGTATGTCTGTGAGCCCTAATCCCAGAACAGCTATTATTGTTGCTAAATTGACATGAAAACTAGAATTCCTTACCTAAGGTGTGGAAGCACAAAAAAAAAAGCACTGGACAAGTTGAATTGCTCTGCTGTCATTGCATATATCAGCCACTGGTTAATTAAGATTAAACATGCTTTGGAATAATTTATTTAAAACAAAACAAACTAGCAGGAAGCTGTTTGCAAGGTGTTGGTAAATGTGTGAAATATTATACAGGTCTATTCTAAAAAAGTAAAAATGTGACTTGGGATGTGGTATAGACACTGACCTACATGAAGCACACAGCAGTAAGAAAGATTTGGGTAACATAGACCCTGTTTTGTTATTTCAGTATTCTGGACTTCTATTAAAAATAAGTAGTAGAGAAGCAAGATCTAGTTCAGTAGATGAATGATCAGTATGAATCTAGTTAATGTGGTTTGCTAACATAGTTTTAGAGTTTAAATTGTGGTCAGTAGAGAGGTGGGACTGTAAGAGGTAATGTGTGGTACGCATGGCACGCATGCATCTGTTCACTGTTTTAGTTTAAAAGCTGGCGTAGCACCTTATTGCTGCTTCTATAATGAAATGCTAGGGAAATGCCTTGTTAAAGTGTAGCTTAACATTATTAAAAACAAAACAGTAATTAAAAGGCCTCACAAGTGGAAAAAAAAACAAGAGGCTTATAACCATTTTGTAACACAATTTGTCCTTGACCACCATTAGGTGAATGTCATTCACCTCAACTTCAATGAGTAAAATAATCTCTGTGTTTGTGACCTTTCATAGCCAGAATTAGAAGGAACAAGTAAAAAGGAAAGGGGAAAGAACTGAGGAAAACAAAGAAGGGCAGTGTCAAGACAAGGTTTATCTATGTTCTGTCTCCATGTTTATCTGTTTGTAATGACAAAATTACACATGTGAGTAAACAAGTACAAAGGAAGAAGAGTCGTCACATATGAGGAAATGTATTTCATGTCATCTCTTAGTCATGGTTTTTGCTGTTACCTGGAAAAATTCAGTCAGCTTGATCCACCAGCATTTTATTTCTATTGGAAGAAGTTAATAGAAATGGGTACTAATTTTTTCATTCCAACAGTTTAAATACATGTGAGACAGACAAGGAGAAGAAGTGCATGTACACAGGTGGTATGTGCATATGTGGAGGTAGAGAAAACAGTTTGCTACTTGTATTCCTACCAACTGCCCAAAGCAGTAACTCAGATGAACATAGAACTGAGACATATGAAGGGACCACATCAGTCAGAGTAGGAAACCCATCAGGGAAACATGTCTATTACATATCCTTTCAATGGCATGAAATTACGGTCAGATTGAGAAGGTTCAGACAAATTAGTTCAGAGGCCATATTCAAGCTGAGGATCAGGCTCTGGTCAGACTGGCAGAATGCTTAGCTGCTCTGATGTGTGGTTGTCAGCTCCATGTGTGTTTCAACATAGCACAGAAAGTCTGACTTCTGACACCAAGAGTTAACATCTGTTTCCAATAGTTCCAGGCACAACCTCCTCTTTTAGAGTAAGGTCCTAATTACACAATGTTTTGCATTGAGCTCCTCTACGTGGTCATTGGAAACAGAAAGTCACAGCTACTATTCAAATGACTGAAAATTGTCAGCTACATTGGCTGAATTGCAGAGATGATCCTCAGAAATCCTATTTCATCAATATTTGTTCTGTTTCCTCCTTTCTTTTTTTTTTTGTTGGTTCTAATTTTTATCAGGACATTTAATGTTTAACAGTGTAAATTAAGAAGAAGATGATGTAGCAGTATAAGTAACAGTTTGGAGAAGAGCATGGTCAGCTGAAGGTCAGCAGCAGGGCTTCTGATTTTGTAAGCACTACATATGGATTTTTCTTTGAAACTTGTAAATGATGCTTTCTGCGGTCAGCGAAATCTTCATGTTAGGTTAATTTCATTTGTACGCTTGTGGCTGTTTGTATGCAATGAAACATTAATCAAGCAAGCATGCAAGGGACCAGTGGGACCTGCTATTCTGGGGGAATATGCTTAGCCTGAAATTAGAATAAAATAACCTTTGAAGTCACGGGGACTTATTAAGTAGTTGTTAAAGCAGAATACTGATGAAATCATCTTTTAGGCTGGAAACAGCCTTCACAGTCACTCAAAATTAGCATAATCCTACTAGTGACTGAACAACTTGGGCCAATTTATAAACCCTTCTGATGACTTAATGTATAAAGCTACTGAATTGCTAAGGCCAGGTTGTCTAATTAGGGCTGGGGTTAAGTGTAGGGGGTAGGTGGAAGGCCACAATTTAAATTTAATTGCCCCCTTTAATCCCATAGAAAAACTAATCTGTCATTTGGTAGGGATTTATTTTCTGAATTTCCAATTTTCATATTAAAAATATAGCCCAGATTTAATAAAGTCTTTCCAGTTTCTTCCACTTTGAAATGGTAACAAAAAAAAAAAAAATTTGTGGCTGAAATTGTCTAGTTTTAAAATGTTGAAATTAATGTGATTAACATTTCTTTAAAGAATGGGAAAAATATGTAGGGAAAACTCAATGACACTATTCAGTGTTTTCCAGCTTCCGGTAGAAGTGCTTCTTCACTATTTCTGTAGAGCACTGTGATACTAAGAGAAATTTTTAACTGATTTGTTACTGTACAAGTTAAAAACAGAGCCATGCCTAATATGAGCTTGTTGCAGAAAAAAAACATACTCTGCTTCAGAAATTCTTTGAAATTCAGGTTTAGCTTTGTTTAGACACAAGAAGTAGTCATGGACAGATAAAAACTATCCTCTTTTTCATTAAAGTGTGCAACATCTCAGATACCTAGAAAAAAACAGTCTATGAAATGTTAAATGGGAAGTACTTTTGAAACACTCCCTGTACTACACCGTCACTTCATTTGTTCACAGTACGTAAGGGTTTGGCGGGCTTAACTGGAAGGAACAGGGAGAGTTCTGTCCTAGAGAGATGTAAATAGAGTTAAATCCTCATCTAGTGCCATACTATGTCTTTTGGTTTAAGGAAACGAAAATTTAACATTACCATACTCAACGCACTCAGATCCTAACAAATATTAGAACACACAACTAATGCATATGTTTGCTACAAAAACAAGACCACCATATCAATAGAAAAATTAAGCAACTGGTTAATCACTAAGAATCCTGGAACTTGGGCTGCCCTCAGAAACTCTAAATCTTGTTTAGATAGTGGATACTGTCATCTTTCACATCCAGAAAGGAATATGGGACCAAGAGAACTTCCCCTTGGCAGGACATGGGAAAATGCATGCCTAGCTGTATGGGCTGGAAACCAGAAAACCAGCAACCATTACGGTAGAAAAGTTCTAGAAATGTTTTCATGCAGAAGCTGCAAGGGCAAAAAGCTTAGGGTTAGACAGCATGGATAGCTTGCTACATTTCTGAAGAGGATTTGTGTGAAAAGCCTCCCCAGAATACCAGGGAACTGAATTCAGTAAACCAGAGACTTGTTCCTGCTCCTGTGGAGGGCAGGTGGCTTATGTGAACTACATCATGTTATCATTAGGAGAACTAACAATGGAGAAACTTGTCATCTCGAATGGGATTAATCTGAGTGTCCGTTGATTTCCAAATGTGATCTGCGCTCCTTTTTTCCTCTTGAGTCCAGGTACTTCCTAAATCCCTAGAGGAAGCCACACATCCCACACAGGTTAATCCATGGTGAGGGGAAAACCACCTCTTAACAAGTTACAAACACTTGTTGCGGCTCCCCAAAAGGAGGGTCCATACAGGCACTTCATTATCTGGTACAAACTGGTGCTTCCCACGTGTCTTTACACTCACTTCTGAGTGCTGTGCTGCCATGGCACAGGGTGCTCCAGACTTCCGCCTTGCATTTTTTCATGAAGTTTATGTAGATGCCTTTCATCTATCATTTATAAGCAGTGGCCAATGGCTGGCCATGTGAGTAAGTAACCAGGAAGTAAACAGGGGTGTGAATTTAACAAGCCCTGGGTAGTCCATGACAGCCATCTGTCCATGTGCTGCTGGCCTGATGAAAGTGAGGGAATTTATCCCACTTTCAGTGAGAAATGTGATCCTCGCATTTACTCATATTTACCAAACTGTATTTGGGCAGGTGATGTGGAGTATTTGATGTCTTTGAAACCTACACCTGTCTTACCTCATGGTAACTTGTTTGTTTTGATGTACCTTGTAGAAGGCAATAATCCAATGTACCTTGTAGAAGGCAATAATCCAAGAAGATAATGTCATTGTCTTCCTGTCATTGTCATTGTCATCCTGTCCACAGGATGGACTTTGGCTCTATAACTCCATTGCCAATGGAGAAAAGATTTGCCTTTTCAGGGCAGTTAGAATGGAATATTACGATTTTATTATGTCTGACATTTTAATGCATAATTTGGCTAAATTTATCAATGACATTTGATGTTGTGTCCATGGAAACTTTAAATATTCCATATGCATTGTATCTTTACAGTTGCACTATATATTATTTATGCTAGCAAACTATTCATTATTTCTTACTAACAAACTCATCATTACCATCTGCTCATCTAATGACTGTTTATTTTGTGACACAATAATTTGAAAAAAAGATGAAGTATCTCCAGTGCCTGTGTTTACTCCTTGCTCTTCTTTGTGCTGTAACCCATTGCCGCCATGAAGACATTTGCCATAACGTCAATAACACTAATCTGAATGGTGGAACAGAAGATTTATTAATACATAACTGTGACAAGAAAAGCTCTAACTATGCAGATTTTGTGTTTAGAATTTACAATCAGGCTATATCAAAAGAAGCTGATAAAAATATTTTCTTTTCTCCCATGAGCACTCCACTGCTTTTACCATGCTGGCTATTGGTGTGTCGTGGTTTAAACCCAGTCAGGTAATTTCGTTCGCTCACTTCCCCCCCCTTTCTTGCCCTCCCCCTGCTCCCGGAGGGACAGAGAGGAGAATCGAAAAGAATGCAACTCCCACGGGTTGAGATAAGAACAGTTTAGTAACTAAGGTATAACACAAATCACTACTGCTACCACCAATGATAACAATGATAAAGGAAATAACAAGGGAAGAGAATACATCATCTCACCACCAACCGACCGATAACTCGCCCCCCCCCAGCCCGACCAAGCTCCGACCGATACCTCCTCCAACCCTGCAGTCTCCCGGCCCTTCCGGCTAACTCCCAGTTGCATCCTGGGCATGACGTGCTGTGGTATGGAATACCCTTTGGTCAGTTTGGGTCAGGTGTCCTGTCTCTGCTTCCTCCTGGCTTCCCCTCCTCCCTGGCAGAGCATGAGGCTCACAAAGTCCTTGGCCAAACCTAAACATCACTATCAGCTCTGTTCCCAAGCTGAAAGTCAAAACACTGCACTGCACCAGCTACCAAGGAGGAGAAAAATGACTGCTACTGCTGAACCCAGGACATTATCCACCCCTTATTCCATACCATTCACGTCATACTCAGATCCCACATTTTCAATATACCATCACTCTTATCTTAGTGCATGGACCAGTCCCTATAAAGCTGCTGAGTCCATCTGGTCCATGATGTCAGTCTCCATCTCTTCTAACAGTCTTCCAGAGCAGGAGAGACTGTGTGCAGTGTTCACACTCGTGAATAACTAGGGCAATAGTGTCCATTGTTAAGTCCACCCCTTGATCATGAGTCCATCTCTATGTTGCATCTCTGCTCTGATGGCCTGAAGTGCCATGGGCCCACCAGGCTCAAAATAATTCACTGTCCCCTTAAGCAGTTTCTGCAGCTTGTTGCTGGGGACTCCATACAGCTGCCTTCCATCTCCGACGCTTCCAAAGCACTGGAGGGGCCCAGTGGACTAGATACTTGCCCATACTGTCACACACACCCTGCCACTCATGACTGTCCAGCTTTGGGAAAATCCTCTTGGTCCTCCTATAACCTTGTCTAACCCCAGACAAGACCCAAACCTGACTCTGCTTAACTTTTGAGATCAGACAAAATGGTTGTGGGTAGAACACAGTCTGTGTGTGTGCCAACATGCTGATCCCCATCACAATCAGCAGGCAGGTCCCAAGGATACCCAAAGGCCATTCAAAACCTTCAGAACTCTCAAACGATGCTGCTGTACTTGTCACTGGGGCTGGTGTAGCTGCTGTACTTGCCACTGGGGCTGGTGTAGCTGCTGTGCTTGCCACTGGGGCTGGTGTAGCCGCTGTACTTGTCACTGGGGCTGGTGTAGCTGCTGTGCTTGCCGGCTCTCCCACCGCCAGCTTCTCTTTTCCCGAGTCCAGCTCTTCCTCCTCTGCCTTGCTGGGAAATGCTGCGTGGTCTCCTGCATCCTCCTGGGGCTCGGCGGGCGGCTTCCGGGAAATGCTCTCGGCCGTCGCGGGGCTGGGCTCCTCCGCGGGGCTCGGCTCTTCCGCGGGGCTCGGCTCTTCCGCGGGGCTCGGCTCCTCCGCCGCCTTCTCCCGCTGCTCGGCAGCCGCCTCCTTCCTCTCCTCGATCTCCCCGACCTCCTCCACCGGCAGCCGTCCCCTCGCGGCCTCCGGCCCCGCTCCCGCCGCCGCTTGCTCCCCGGGGCCGCTCTCCCGGGCCGGTTCGGCTGCCGCCGGCTCCCGGGGCCGCTCCCCCTCGGCTCCCCGCAGCCTCACGAAGATGGAGAGTAGGGTGAGGGCCAGGACGGTGAAGAGCAGCCGGACGGCCAGGTACAAGTCCACGGCCACGTCCGTCCCGCCCTGCTGCTGGAGCCCGCCCGTATTACAAGCCATTGCCATAAAGCACAGTGAGACAAGAACCTTAGCCCAGGCCCCACACTTGATAAACACTAACACAGCAAATACCGGCTCTACGTAAGTTACAACGGTCTGAAGCTGTGAGATCAACAAGAACAACTCTGAGAGCCAATAAATCAGCATTGTGACGAGTGACTATTAATCCAGTCAAATCTGTCGTTATCTCAACCCTTCGTGCCCCACGTTGGGCGCCAAAAAGAACTGTCATGGTTTAAACCCAGTCAGGTAATTTCGTTCGCTCACTTCCCCCCCTTTCTTGCCCTCCCCCTGCTCCCGGAGGGACAGAGAGGAGAATCGAAAAGAATGCAACTCCCACGGGTTGAGATAAGAACAGTTTAGTAACTAAGGTATATCACAAATCACTACTGCTACCACCAATGATAACAATGATAAAGGAAATAACAAGGGAAGAGAATACATCATCTCACCACCAGCCGACCGATAACTCGCCCCCCCCCAGCCCGACCAAGCTCCGACCGATACCTCCTCCAACCCTGCAGTCTCCCGGCCCTTCCGGCTAACTCCCAGTTGCATCCTGGGCATGACGTGCTGTGGTATGGAATACCCTTTGGTCAGTTTGGGTCAGGTGTCCTGTCTCTACTTCCTCCTGGCTTCCCCTCCTCCCTGGCAGAGCATGAGGCTCACAAAGTCCTTGGCCAAACCTAAACATCACTATCAGCTCTGTTCCCAAGCTGAAAGTCAAAACACTGCACTGCACCAGCTACCAAGGAGGAGAAAAATGACTGCTACTGCTGAACCCAGGACATGGTGCTAAGTCAACCACCCTGTCCCAGATTTTTGAAGGCCTGGGCTTTGATGATCTGACTGAGACTCGCATACATTATATACATGAAAGTTTTTATAGAGTTTTAGCAGTACTGAACTGTACTGATGCTAACATTACATTAAATATAGGGAATGCCCTTTTTACAGCTACTGGGTATGAACCACAGGAGACATTTTTACAAAATACCAAACAGTTTTATGAGGCAGATTTTTTTTCTAGCAATTTCCATAAACCAGAGGAAGCTAAGAAACACATCAACAAATATGTAGAGAAGAAGACCAGGGGGAGAATTCCTAGTTTAATTGGTCATCGATCCAAGTACTGTATTGGTTCTTGTAAAATACATTTATTTTAAAGGTAAAATATTTAACATAATATTCCAATAGATGATTCTGATGCAAAACAAAAATCATAGGGAGCTCATGACGATTTATTAGGAGAGTGAATATTTAGGAAAGAGTTAAACTTTGCAGGACCTTCAAAGTGAAGGACTGATCTAGCCAAAAGCAGAGTATCTGATTGTTGATAAATAATATTGGTTGCTCGATTTTGGCTCAGTTTGCCTGAAAGCTGTGGACAAAGAAGTCCTCTCTAAAAGACTGCCTCAAAGACAGTGATCCACTGCATGTAGTCTTGCTGGTCTGAGGACATAATGACTAGGCATGTTTCAAATATCTCTGTGATGACTGTATGTGCCAGTCAAACTTAGTGGACTGATATTCTTGCACTTACAGGGTCCCCAGTATTATGGTGGATTTACTAGGTAAACTGCATGGAAACTTGGGACACAGCCCTGCTTGGGTGTTAGGATCCTTTATTCTGCTGGTTAATTCCTCACCAGGTTGAGTGCAGTCAGCTTGCACAGGGTACAGCCTGACAGGAAAGGCATAACAAGATCCTGTGGCTGGATGTTTAAGTGGTTGAATTTGAATAACATAAAAGACACAAGTGATGGAAACATATGGCTACAGTAGAAGCAGGACTCTCTCAATTGGTCCTCATCAACCTTTGGTATTTTTTCAGCAAGACAGGATATCCTCACATTAAATACGCTGAACATACTGCACAGCTAAAATGCTTTATTTTTTTTTTTTTTTATGCAGGAGATTGAAGTGATTTAGCAGCCCTGTTTTCCCATGACCAGCCCCCCAGCATTCTACATTTAAGTTGGTCTGATTTATATCAGCCATTTTTTATGAGCTTCATGTGTTTGAATCCAACATCTTCTCTTTTCCTCCATTAGCTGACTGGACAAAGTATTTTGATCCTTTGCGTACACATGAGGATGATATTTTTGTGAGCACAAATGCATCTCTTAGAGTCAACATGATGCAGCTTGACAGTAACTATCACAGTTACTATGACAAGAATCTCTCTTGTAAGGTGGAAGAGCTGCTTTACCAGGGCACTGAACGAGCATTGTTTATTCTTCCTGATGATGGAAAGATGAAGCAAGTGGAAGATGCTTCTGTCCAAGGAAACTGTTCGCAAATGGGATAACAAACTCGTGACCAGGTAACTCTAGGTAGATGGGTTACTATATTTGAGGACACATCATTATTTTTAAGAGAAAGCATTAATCAGAGATTGCTTCCTCCTGGATGTAATGTCCTCATTTCATAAAGCAGGGCTTTAACTGATTCCCAAGACAAGTCAGAGCACAGCATAATTGGTAAGAAACTGCAAGCTTTCTGACCTGACAGAAGGGACATAGCATTGTAACAGCTACCTCAAGACTTCCTTGGCTACCTTTTGGCTGCCATATATCTTCTTTCATGGTGATAACATAATTAATTTGCTTCACTGGGTCTTTATCATTCTTTTCCCTTCATTTAGCCTTTCCACAGTTGGTCTGCTTACTCTCTAGAGCCCTCTAGCCACAACACTCTGCTAGTTGTGTATATGGCACTGGAATGAAAAAATGAAATTAGTTTCTCTTTCCAAAACTGAGAACAGAATGTAGGTACAAAAAGAAGGCACATCTCTCTGGATGCCAGAATTGCTCAGGGAGTACAAATGCTGTCATCAAACAAATTAGCAAGCAAAAGAATGCTTTCAAGTGTCACTGTATTACATACTATCAAGTCTGGTACCTGAAATACAATGCTGCAATGCTTCACTGCTGTTTTGTTTTCTTTGTTCAACAGGAGATTAGATCTGCAGTTACCAAAGATTTCTATTAGGGGGTCTTATGATCTTAAAAAGCTGTTCGAGGAAATGGGCATTACTGAAGTGTTCTCTGGTAATGCTGATCTGTCTGGAATTAGTAGCAGCCATAATCTCCAGGTTTCAGAAGTAAGTCAACAGAGCTGGTGATGGGGCCATGGTTGGTTGCTCTGGATCTGGGTTTTTTAAAGACTTGCTTTGCCTCCCTGTCCTACTGAAGGTATAAATAAAATTCACAAGGGCATATTGGGGCTTGCTTAGTAATTGTGCCTTTATGCAGAGAGGGCCTGCTTTCCCACCTTTATATTATTTAATATTGTTATTAAAAGGCTGGATATTGAGTACATGGAAAAGCTGGGCAAGATTTTAAACTTTTTCTTGGCACTGGAATACGGTTGTTTACATGAGATTGTGTCAAGTAAGTTATATATGACTAGTATATCATGATATTTGTATTGATTAATACCCATTTTTTTAATATTCTCAGAGTTCCCAGGAAACTTCCAGTTTGCAGTAGCAGATTTTCACCATGTCACTTTAAGTTACGATTAAGTTAATGTGGCAAAGATGACAAATATTGCGTCTGCATCGGCATTTAAATAGCAGTCTTCCATTAATCTCATTGGAATAACAGAGAAATGGGCTGTTATTATTCCCCTCTATTCAGCACTGGTGAGGCTGCATTTACAGTGTGTCTGGTTTTGGTTTTGTTCCTCCCCATTAAGTCCTGACATGGAAAACACTCCTGTTGCGGGCTGCTAGAGACTGCCTATATCCAAACTATACAAGAAAGTTTGGTCCACTAGATTTTAGCACTTTTCTCCTAAATAATCCATAAGAAGAGAGTTTATCTTCACCTCCTGCTTGATGTCCCATAAATACACCACAACGTTTGCTTCTTTTTCTTGCAGGCAGTTCACAAGGCCCTACTGGAAGTTGATGAGGCTGGAACTGAGGCTGCAGGAGCAACAGCTGTAATCCTTACCAGAGTTCTCCATCCTTCTGTTACCATCAAATTCAACAGGCCCTGCTTTACCTTGATTTCTGACAAAGAAACCCATACCACACTTTTCCTGGGGAAAATTGTTGATCCTACTAAGAAGTGATTGCTGAATTATTTGTCATACTGCTATTTGGCATGAGTTATAATGGCTGCAGGGTTTGCACAAGCAGGCTAGTTAGGGCTACTAACTACTCTCTGACTAAGGGATATTCAGAAGTAAATGAGGAATTCCCTTATCCCTTATATTTTCCTTATAAATGAATAAGGAAAAAGAATGTGACAAAAAAAACCAACAACTGGCAGTTTTTAAATGTAACATTTTCCCTAATTGAATATATTTTCTATATTTTCATTGGAAGACACTTTATTTTGTAAAGTCTGTTATTTTTACAAGCAGTTTTGTCCAAATTGCTTTCAATTATGGGTTGTTCACCAAGAGCTTTATCCCAACCAGTAATAAGTCCCTTGCAATTCTAGTATGTCTTTTCCATGACTTGCTGATGACCAGTACTCATCTGAGCTGGTCCCTTCAGAGTACTTTATTCCTTTCATGCCTTTTTGCTGCCTAGGCTGTTATTGTTTATCCTTAACCAACCTGTTCTTTCTCGCATGTTCCAATCCTTTGTCTAGGACATCTTGAAAAATATTGACAAAAAAGAGAAAGTTCCTGAGACAATAGACTTGTTCTGCTGTAGCAGTCACTGTAAGAGTCTTTTTGATGTTCACAGGGTCAGCAAAAGACTGTGAGAGACAGTGACGTTAAGCATAAACTGTCAAAAAATTGTGAGATCATGTCACCCATGAATTATTGCCATGCTTGATGAATAAAATAAGCATTGTGCACTCGCAGCCCAGAAAGCCACCCGTATCCTGGGCTGCCTCAAAAAGAGCGTGACCAGCAGGTAGAAGGAGGTGATCATGCCCCTCTACTCTGCTCTCATGAGACCTCACCTGGAGTACTGTGTACAGTTCTGGTGTCCTCAACATAAAAAGGACATGGAATTGTTGGAACAAGTCCAGAGGAGGGCCATGAGGATGATCAGGGGACTGGAGCACCTCCCGTATGAAGATAGGCTGAGAAAGTTGGGGCTGTTCAGCCTGGAGAAGAGAAAGCTGTGTGGAGACCTCATAGCAGCTTTCCAGTATCTGAAGGGGGCCTATAGGGATGCTAGGGAGGGACTCTTCATTAGGGACTGTAGTGACAGGACAAGGGGCAACAGGTTCAAACTTAAACAGGGGCAGTTTAGATTGGATATAAGGAAGAAATTACTGATAAGGTGGTGAGGCACGGGAATGGGTTGCCCAGGGAAGCTGTGAATGCTCCATCCCTGGCTGTGTTCAAGACCAGGTTGGACAAGGCCTTGGGTGAGATGGTTTAGTGTGAGGTGTCCCTGCCCATGGCAGGGGGTTGGAACTAGATGATCTTAAGGTCCTTTCCAACCCTAACTATTCTATGATTCTATGATTCTAAATCCACCACTTAAGGACTGACTCCAGTCTTTTACTGTAATTCTATATATATTTTAAAATCAACAAAAACTTTAATTCACTCTTATTAACATAGTAGGGTGCCTTTAAAATATGTTTCAAAGGTAGTTATATCAGTGTAACTTTCCTCATACGGAGATGGTGATTCTTTGCATGCCCTTCTTTTGTGCCTACTTGGGTAAAACCTTTCTTTCAAGAAATACACGAACACTCTCTTGCTGATGTAGGTCTCCAGAACACCCACTCTTACTGCACTGGAGCACTGGGGCATACTGCTCAGCCCTTGCTGAACTTCATTGTGTAACTTCTGTCTCAAGAAGAAGCTGACTTCTGCTTTGGCAGTTGCTCTGTCACTGCACTGCTTTGACTTGTGCCATTGCATATTGAACCTGGATGAGTTTTTTTACAAGTGGGATTTAATCCCCATCTCTGGGAAGATGATGCTCCTGAATGTACATTGCTAATTTCTACAGTGATCCTGGCAATGTGCTATGAGCGCTTCAAAAGTGATGCAAGCCCCAAATCAAGAAACAAGCTCCCCATCCCTGACATCTCTCTGTCTCTCTGACCTTTCAAACTTGGTCCACCATGCACAGATGTGCTTTACTGAGACCCATCAGTACTTGCAGCATAGGTTTGGTTTACAGGGGGTATGCTTCTGACTCAAGGGGACTCAGAGACTACTGCTTTGTATGGGTTTCTTTTGCTCCAAGCAGCAAGAACTCAGTGGAAGCCCTAAGCTATTGCTTCTGCAGAGGCAAGATACCATCACTCAGTGGACTGGGAGATACCACACCTTTGCGCAAAGCAGCAGCTTTTACAGAGTTGAGATCAATGATAACTTGCTATGGTGTGAGGCAGCCTGCTCTATAGTGGTTGTACAAACTCAACAAAAGCTGGGAACGGCTCCATCGAGATCTCACCCTGATAAATCTGTGCAGTACTGATTAGAAGGTAGCATGGTGAGATTTTTATCAGAGTGTGGTGACAGAAAAACAGGTTCTCAGCATGTTGCTAAAGGGAAAGAGGTTAAGAAAAATCTTACAGTTGCTAGGACAGAGTAGATGCTTTGGGAAATAACACATGGAGCAACTTCCTGCCCCATCTACCTCCTAGGCCTTCGCTTTTGAGAGTGGAGTCAAGGAACTGCAGGAGGAGAGATACACTGGGAGTTTCACAAAGGAGTGTGAGGAGTGACTGATTCTGATAAAAGTATCAAACAGGCCATCTCTGAATGCTGGATGGGTTTTGGAGGTATCTACCAAGATGTGGGGTATCATCACCACAGTTGTCCTCCAGTTAAGCAACTTCACACCCCACACCAATAGATTTGCCTAAGCCATGGCAGGGACCTGGAGAGGGAAGATGGATCGTCCCAAATCTCTGTAGAAAGGGAGGATGTGGGAGGGACAGGAAGTAAATTAGCCTTGTGCCATACATATGTGAAAAGCAGAAAAATACCTACAGTTTACAGTATAGAGATCCATAGAGCCTGCAGACCGAACATAGCTAGCTGATGCTACCCCCAGCATAGTCCTAATAATATTCTTTAGAAACTGGACAACCCTGCAAAGATTTTGTGAGAAGACAGGTATTTTGTTTTAATTCCAAAAAAACTTAATTGTGTCGGTCTGCCTTGCATCATTTGTTCTTGTTGATTCTGCCTGTCTCAATGTGTGATAGGGAACATTATTCTTCATGCTATCTAGTTGTATCAATGGTAGAGAAGGAAAGGAAGGATTATAATAGACATCAGCAAAATTTTTCATTTAGCGACTGAGTATTCATCCTATCTGTGGTAAATACATGTATTTTACATGTCTTTCATTCATCTTTAGGTTATTCTATTAACACCCTTTAATCTCCCACTACAACAAAATCAGACCTTATTAGGACAAATTAATCCCACACATGCATTCTCTCAGTCTATGGGACAGCTGGATCCAAACTAGCCCTAAAAGATAATTAGAGCTTCTGTATACCCTGCTGAGTGTTGTCCACCTCACTTTCCTGCAGTGACAGCAGAAGGCAATAATGCAGCTTACAATGGTGTATGGGTCCCACTGTCATAAACGTCCATAAACATCATGACCTGCTGTGGGCCATGACCTGACATGCTTACAGGAAGCTATTAGGAAAAGAACTTATGTAAAGAGAGCATATTTCAGCTGAGAACCCCTGTGAGGGAAGATGGACAAACTGGACTGTGTCTCTGAAAGTAAGTCTAGCTGTGCCCTAGCAGAGCCAAGTGCCAGACTTTTCCTGGCAGCCTCTGAGCCATGTGGAAGACAATAAGGTTGTTCTATCTGGCCTTGTTCATGGTCCACTGGGACACTGTTTACCGATGGGATATCTTTTGTCAGTAAAGCTCTGTTTGCTTTGCCCCGTGGCAGGGTCCATGCAATATGTTCTCACAGGCCATGAAGCAAGGGATTGAAGGGCTAATACAGTACGTGTCCAATGCGTTTCAGCTTTCACCAGTAAGGAAAGGATCTGACTATATGCCAAAAAGGCATAAAGTAATCAAATAATCACAGAAACACCAGATGCTCACATAAACCATGCTATTCTGATGCTACCAGCACTTTGGACTTCCTTATTCTCAGCTATGTGATTTCAGCCTCAACCCTGGTATCTGGAGAACTAGCTCTTGAATAGGCACAGCCTTCTACCCACAGCTATGTCATTCGTTCAGTCCTTGATTGCTGCTACTATTTCAAGGAAACAGGAATTCATCCAGTTATAAGACAACCCTATGCTGTTTCAGTAAAATCAGTACAACAAAAGCAGCAGACTCTTCCCCCTCTACTGACTCTCATTTTAAGCTCTTAAAAATCAGATGATTCTGAGAGTTCCTGGCGGGGTGCTTTTTGTCTGTGGATTCTGAGAACCAGTAGTACCTGTATGGTATCTACAAAGCAGTTTCAGTACATCACAACCCAGCTCATTTTTGACATGAGTCTAAGCAGCTTTTGAAGGTATTAAAAATCTCATTGCAGTATTACTCCCTACACCCAGAATTCAAGTCTTGTCTCCAAAGTAAAGAGGCACTAGGGTTTCCCATCAGAAAAAAAGTGCAAGAGAAGCACAAACATTTTTAAATGCAAATGTTTCCCCAAAAACTAAATATTCACTGTGGTGGGAACTAGAATGAGTGCAAATTCTCAAGGAGGTAGGGAACATAAAGACCACCATGGGCTATGTATCTCTATGTCCTGCAACACATCCTCCAAATCTTACCCATCCATCTAATATTCCCTGTTGAGTAGTGCACCTCTGTTCTTACCCATATGGGGTTGCTTTGATTAGATTTAAACTGAGCACATGTATGATATCATCCATTCCTTGTAAACTGTTAGCTAGCAAAGACTCATGTGGAAATAGTCATTATTAAGTTCCCAGTCCCATGTATAACAGAGAACCCATTTTTAAATAACTTGGTAATTGTGCTTTCCTCACACTAACAGTTTTAAAGAAAACTGCAATTCATTCATTTCATGTAAATGTCCGTGAGTAAGACTAATGCCCATTACACAAACTCAGCTCAGCACTGATGTTGCTACAAATGACTTTACTAGCTTCTTGCAAAAGAGAATTTCATGACAAAAGTAGCTTTTTAGTTCAATCCTATCCCTGCAGATGAATTAATTACAAGCAAATTAGCCTGACTTATACAAATGAGTCTTTACTTCTCTTATTTTTGACTGCATTCAGCTTCTTTTCATAAGACATATGGAAACAAAATATTATTATTTAATACTTAACAAGAAGGTATCCTTTGTGGTTGGAAAACTTCTGCTAACAGCAGTGTGATGCTTATATGGAAGGTCTGAAGAAGACTTGTGCAAATACCTTGTTAAGGGAAAGTTGCTATATTGTTTACTATGTCTCGTGTAGGAAACACAGACCACATGGAAGATGTGGTCCTCTGCTGAAGGAACATATTTGAAAGGAAAAAACAACACAGAATAAGATAATTCACTAAGTGTTGCAGTCGTCATAGGGACTTTGGTTGCAGCCAGGAAAGAATCTCAGAGCAAGAGAAAACATCTGTGTGCAGGAAAGATGAAAGATGTAATGAAAAGTGGGTCCTAAAATGCATATGAATGCAAAAGTGGGCGTACGCCTAGACTTCATGCTGTTCACACAGATGCAGACACCTTAACCATCAAAAAAGCCATACCATTCCTCATGTATTCAAGGGACAGATACTGGAATGTGCAACTTGAATTTATTTTCTGTTCTTGTACCTTCTAAGTCTGAGCTATATCCCTCTGGTAAACCTTACAGGTTAAATTTTAAGACATTTTGGGCCTC